CAAAAAAAAAAAAAAACAAGACCGGCAAAGTGCCAGTCTTAATGGCGCGGCGGTTTCCCTAGCAACACGCATCTAATCGCAGGAAGCAGTCACCCGCCCGCACCTGGCCCGTCAACCCCATCTGCTTTGGCGGCAATGTCCAACTTGTCCTTGATGGTAGAGCCTCCGCTCTTGACCATGTGGTTGAACAAGGTACAGTACTCTGGGGGCTCTCCAGGGTTACTCCAAGCGTACAACTGCCCGCCGCCGCCGTGAAGCCGCCAAAATATGGTGTTATTGTATATGACAAAAAAAAAAATGACACGAAAAAGGGACGGGTAAATCGGGACATATCGTCAGCCAAAGCACGAATGGTCTAACCGCTTTGCGAATAGTCCCTACGAAACACACGGCAGAAGCGGCGAGGTTCGGCAGCTGTTGTACCTTGCAGACGAAACGAACAGCTCTTAAGCAAGAAACAGCAGTCTTAGAGCCGTTGGTCGTCGTGTGTACTTGGTCAAGTGTACCCGAAATCGGTTGTGGGAGCGGTGGACAATGGAGGGGGCGTCAACAACAAGACAACAAAGGGTACACCAGAGATTGTCGGGTCAAGAACAACGGTACACCAGGTACTTTGATGCAGGAACTGGCCCCGAAGCCCCTCCGACACTGATTGGCCAAAGCGAGTACTCATGCGGCGGAATACCGCGGCCCGGCTGACCGAGCCGGCGATTTTCTGGCGTTTCGTTCCCTCCCCGGCTGTGCTGGTCGCGCGAAAGAGACGTCTGCTTGGGCCATTCGGTACGAGAAGACTGTCCTTCTTGCCAACTCAACTTTCCAATCACTTTCCAGGGGTAGTGGACAATAGGGGTAAATTCGCATGTACCACACTCTCCAAGTCAGCGATGGACTGACAAGTTGAGAAATGTGGGAAGACAGTTGTCGTAGCCCTGTGTGGAATTGTGCAGCAAAACCAACAGGCAAGCACGTGTCTGTACCGCAGGCCATTGAAACTATGTGCGATTTCGTCCCATCTATGTTGGTTTTTGGCGCTAGTCTACGCCTTTCGGCGGTATTAATTTATTTGTTGTGTCACCCGGGGTCACACAACACGCCAGGTTTTTAATGAAGTAAACAAGTTGGATTAAGCATACAATCGGGGAACCTGAGTAATGGTTGGAGTTAGGGAAATAGGGTCTGCGTACCGCCTCCCATTCCTATTTCCTAATTAGCTTAATGTCTCGCGAAGGCGGTTCCACAGGAGCACAGGCGGCAGGGGTAATCGTGGGACATTTTGCTCAACATCTCAACATATTTGCTGTTTAGGTACAATACAGCAGCAGACACTAGAAACCAAAGGGTTCATGTCTCTCTTTGAGCGTCATGTTCCACTCAAACCGAATGGCCTGTGCCGGCGTCCCCAGCACGAGCCGCCTACCAACTGGAACATGCTGGGCTTGGCCAATCAACGCGTACTTTCACCGAAACCCAGACGTACATGTACCATTTCTGTACAATGCAGCATTTCGGAAAAATATCTAGGAAAAAAATGGTTCGACGAACACGAAAGAGGAGTTAGTTCTCCGTCGACAAACGGACAATTATTTCACTAATTTTCAGAAAAAAAATATATGGGGTTCCTTGGTGTCTCGCATCCCCAGGTGCCATCATCGGCATGTACATTGTTCGGCCCCTCTGATAATGCATCTGCCTGCACATATTTCTGCGCCTACGGTCTGAACACATGTTGATGCCGGTTGCTGCTGCGGGTGAGAACGAACCCCGTCCCCATAGAAGCATGGAAAGTCAGGTGCTGACGCAACAAGCAGAGCAATCAACCAAAACCGCCGTGCGTACTGGATGTACCGCATCCCGGTGCTCTTCCTGTCATCTCACCGCATCACACCCAATCGCCCGGAGCGATAGCAAGCAGGCCACGCGGCGCAATAGCAGCGGGAACGCGCTGTTCGCGGGCATATGATGGTGCCGGTGCTGGTGCTGGTGCTGCCGGAGAGAGGCAGGGTTCTGAATGCCAACCCGGAAGATACCGGCTCGCTCCTCTTTCTCGTACTTCTTCTGCTGACCGCTGTTGTTTTTAAGGAGACGGGGACGGAGAGAGTGGGCGTGCATCTAGACAGAGTGGAAGAAAGGGGGGGACATGAGAATCGGAACGAGCGAACAGCAGAGAATCAACACATGCTGTGGATGTAACATATTTACTGGACACAGCACATGGCAGAAAATTCTCTTTGTGTGGCCGGCCGGCATCGGAAGTCTTTAAGTGAACGAGGCAACAACGGTAATTTGGGATATACAGTGGGCGGAAAAAATTACCACACTCCAGAACACGCTCTACCAATCAATTTGTCGCTGGGTGAAAACCCGTCCACTATCTGGATACATATCTAAAAATATCTCAGGCAGGAACCGCAGGAGGGGGTCCAGCCCTCCCGTCCTATGTGACCCCGGTTGGGTCGTCTAGCTGGTAGAAGTGGAGGATAGGGGCCAGAGGGGCAGACGACAGAGTCCAATGATGGGAGACAAAAAAATATACATAGTATATATATATACATGTAACCGNAAGATTAATTGTTTGGATGCTGCAGATATACGGATCTTTCGATTATCGGTCGCAGCCTTGATAGCACAACAGTCAGTATCAACCGCCAACTCTGATGAACGTGCACGCACATAAATGTTTGTGTAGCTGCACCACGCTGCCCTCTTACATGTAAACAGAACATGTAAGGACGTGTGCGTTCGTAGCAATAACGTTGGCGCCAGTTCTACACGCATAGCCGGGGCCACAAAAGAGATACGTCACACACCTCTGTTTTTCATTATTTGTTTATTGCCGTCCCCCTGCGGTGCTCGCCTTAGTTTGTATCGGGAGTAGAGTTCAGCCACCCCTTTCCCTCGTCGAACGTGAAGCCGAAGTGTGTACACTACTGCTGTAGGTCGCTGTCACTACAACTTGCTTGCCATATATAAATCCTGCGAGAAACAAAAACCCGTCGCGAAGAATCGTGCATTCTGACCACGAGACCATCACTGGACAAGGGTACGAAGACTCCTATTATAGAGCGCCAAACTTTCATTGAGCACCCCCCGCATCGGCAATTTGTGGTCAATGGTCTAACCGCTAAGACATGCAAAACATAAGAGTACGCCCCCCCCCCCCCCCC